CCCCCCCCCCCCCCCCCCCCCCATTTCAGGTCACTCAAGGATCAAGCAATATAAAGTTGGGTTCAATTTTGGCACAGAAGGTCTTCCATAGTCAGTAAGTAAGAATTTGAAGAATGAATGTATTTTATATTTCAGGTCTTTTATCGTGTTCTGGGAATGGTCTTATTATCTATGTATTTATCAGGAATCGATTGTTTCGACAGCCACCTATCAATGTTTTTATAATTAGTTTGGCGTCGGGTAACTTGTTAGAATCGTCCCTAGGCTTCCCGTTATGTGCTGCATCAAATTTCGCTAGAAGGTAAATTTTAGAGAAAATAACCCTAAGTCTGTATTATCCATCACGAAATGGCTTCATTAAAGTATATCTGACGAAATTTCAAGTTGACAGTTTCAGTAAAGTTGAACCTGGGTTTTCTGTTCGAGCCAGTGACTAAATGTTATTATTTTATATATTGAATATTTCAGATGGTTATTTGGATCAGTTCTGTGTAATTTTTATGGTTTCACGTGTTATTCAGCCACCTTGGCGAATATGTCGACCTTCGTAGTCATTAGTTTATACAGATATATTGTGATCTGTCGTCCAGAAAGAGGTATGGTTACGTTTAAATCAATATTTGAATTGATATTATTTCCTGAAATTCAACATTATGTGTATTTACTCGGTCCATGTCGTATACCATTCTTATACCTTGGTGTTGTTTAGTATAAGTAGCTCCGCAATGAGGTTGAAATTTCATACCCCACTGTTTATTTTTCAGTTTCTCACATGTTAACTAACAGTAATATCAGAAAAGCTATTTGCGGTGTCTGGATGTATGCTTTATTCTGGGCGACGTTACCCCTGGTCGGCTGGGGAGGGTACAACCTGGAACCTTATAAAACATCCTGCAGCCTCGACTGGACCAATACCTCCATCAACTCTAAAACCTATATTATCTGTGTATCACTGTTCGTGCTGATGATACCACTGATGATTATGATCATAGCTTACAGTGCTATTATCTGCCAAACCAAAACCCATATATCAAGCCTCACGTCCAGTGGAGAGGTGAATAACTTGCCGATAGACCATGCCCAACATGGGGTACAAGTTGTTAGTGATATTGAAAACAGAATTTCAAAGGTAGGTCAATTTTGAAAGGAAAACCTTCATTGATTTATCAAAATGGCGATTCATAAGCCGAAGTTCACAAGCTGTTAAAATCAATAAAATTGACAGAAAAAAAATACATGTTTTAGGTTGATATAATCTTTATCTGTTATAGAGAACGCAAGGTGTTTCATTGTATACAACGTTTCAACAATTTACATTGAATGACATAACATTCAGGTAACATAGAAAAAATGTGACAATTATTTTTATTTTTTTTGTAATTTCAGATAGTCTCAGTCACTATTATTCTCTACGTTATTTCTTGGATGCCTTACGCCATTTTTTCTCTGATGTCGACGTGGGGGGTAATTTTCGATCCAAACTTCACCGTTATTCCTATTATGTTGGCAAAAACCCAGTGTGCATATACTCCACTTATTTATATAATTGGACACAAGAAGTTTCGTCGAACTATTTTCGCTCTAGTAGGAGTAAGCAGTGCTTCTAACCACGTGGCTTCGCAGGGTCAGTTCAATAGAAAAAAACCTGCAGAAAGGATACAGTTGGGTTAAGAAATGCGATATGGAATTAAGATAAAACGAAAAGGTTTTAGATGGTTTACAAAATATGTCGCGTTGACTAAAACTGATTTAATGCTATTGAAGTGTGTTCAGATATAATGCTCCCGTCAGGACAACTGGGGAAAGGTGATTAACTTTACACTATTAGAACTCGAGGTGTTTGAGTCCGGAAAGTACGATTCTGAATTGATGCATAACTGTAGATGAAGCGGGTATCCTTCCCTTGTGTTCCCAATATTTCGCCTGACCCAAAGGTCGGAGCTGCTCAGTCTATTCGTGTGTAAGTCGTGTGTAAGCTAATGGTCTAGTCGTGTGTAAGTTGACGGTCTAGTCGTGTGTAAGTTAACAGTCTAGTTGTATGTTAGTTAACGGTCTAGTCGTATGTAAGTTAACGGTCTAGTTGTGTGTAAGTTAACGGTCTAGTTGTGTGTTAGTTAACGGTCTAGTTGTATGTAAGTTAACAGTCTAGTTGTATGTAAGTTAACGGTCTAGTTGTGTGTAAGTTAACGATCTAGTCGTGTGTTAGTTGACGGTCTAGTCGTGTGTAAGTTAATGGTCTAGTTGTGTGTAAGTTAACAGTCTAGTCGTATGTAAGTTAACAGTCTAGTCGTCTGTAAGTTAACAGTCTAGTCGTATGTAAGTTAACGGTCTAGTTGTGTGTAAGTTAACGGTCTAGTCGTGTGTAAGTTAACGGTCTAGTCGTATGTAAGTTAACAGTCTAGTCGTGTGTAAGTTAACGGTCTAGTCGTATGTAAGTTAACAGTCTAGTCGTGTGTAAGTTAACGGTCTAGTCGTCTGTAAGTTAACAGTCTAGTCGTATGTAAGTTAACAGTCTAGTCGTGTGTAAGTTAACGGTCTAGTTGTATGTAAGTTAACGGTCTAGTTGTATGTAAGTTAACGGTCTAGTCGTCTGTAAGTTAACGGTCTAGTTGTATGTAAGTTAACAGTCTAGTCGTCTGTAAGTTAACGGTCTAGTCGTATGTAAGTTGACGGTCTAGTTGTGTGTAAGTTAACGGTCTAGTTGTGTGTAAGTTAACGGTCTAGTCGTCTGTAAGTTAACGGTCTAGTTGTATGTAAGTTAACGGTCTAGTCGTGTGTAAGTTAACGGTCTAGTTGTGTGTAAGTTAATGGTCTAGTCGTATGTAAGTTAACGGTCTAGTTGTGTGTAAGTTAACGGACTAGTTGTGTGTAAGTTAATGGACTAGTTGTGTGTAAGTTAACGGACTAGTTATGTGTAAGTTAACGGTCTAGTCGTATGTAAGTTAACGGTTTAGTCGTATGTAAGTTAACGGTCTAGTCGTGTGTAAGTTAACGGTCTAGTCGTGTGTAAGTTGATACCCGGTTATGAAGAAAGCGGTTTGTTTGTAAGAGAAGAGTTTGCTAGTGAAATTCAATCTAGAAATTCCTGAAATTAGTTGTGTACAGAAGTTGAAATATATTCTCATCAGTAACGTACCTTGAACTTTTTAAATTCGTCGTCAAGTCGCTATTTAGTCTGTTAAAGATCCCTCGACAGTTGGAAATCAAAAAAGAGAAAACTAATACCGCTGTCCTGGCAAAAGTTTCCTCATTGCATGGCGTTGCCCGTCTTCACTAACCCACATGGTACAGAATAGTAAAATAGAACATAAAACTCCATTCATTTCAATCCGAGCCTTAATTCAGAACAACTGTTTAAATCGGCGTATTATTATTTTATCATGATATTGTAACATGTGAATACGAGGAGAAGTGAAATCAAAGTGAAATCAAAGAAAAATTAATGACAAATGTCCTTACTGTTAACCAAAAATCAAAACCAAGAAATAAACAAAAATCACTAAATCCCTTCACAAATACTCCATACCTCCAAATATACAATAGAATTTGTTACTACAAAAGAATTTACAATCCCTTCAAAAATATTTCATACTTCACTTTCTATTCAATTTATGTCTTTTCTTTATATGAGAGTCTCAAGAAAAGACGAGTCGTCATTTTAACTTTCAAGAGCGGATAATATCACAGTAGAATTTGTTATCACAATAGAATTCGTTGTCAAAATATAATTTACCACATTAGAATGTGTTACCACAATAGAATTTGTTACCACAATAGAATGTGCTACCAAACTATAATTTACCACAATAGAATGTGCTACCACAATATAATTTACCACAACAGAATATGTTACCAAAATAGAATTTACCACAATAGAATGTGTTGCCACAATAGAATGTGTTACCACAACAGAATGTGTTACCACAATATAATGCGTTACCACAATAGAATGTGTTACCATAATATAATGCGTTACCACAATAGAATGTGTTACCACAATAGAATGTGTTACCACAACAGAATGTGTTACCATAATAGAATTTACCACAATAGAATGTGTTAACATATTAAAATTTACCACAATAGAATGTGTTACCACAACAGAATGCGTTACCATAATAGAATTTACCACAATAGAATGTGTTACCATAATATAATTTACCACAATAGAATGTATTACCACAACAGAATGTGTTACCACAATATAATGCGTTACCACAATATAATTTACCACATTAGAATGTGTTACCACAATATAATTTACCACATTAGAATGTGTTACCACAATATAATTTACCACAATAGAACTTACCACATTAGAATTTACCACAATAGAATGTGTTACCACAATAGAATGTGTTACAACAATAGAATGTGTTACCACAATAGAATTTACCGCATTAGAATGTGTTACTGCAATATAATTTACCACATTAGAATGTGTTACCACAATATAATTTACCACAATAGAATGTGTTACCACAATATAATTTACCACAATAGAATGTGTTACCACAATATAATTTAGCACATTAGAATGTGTTACTGTAATATAATTTACCACAATAAAATATACCACAATAAAATTTACCATAATAAAATTTACCACAATATAATTTACCACAATAGAATGTGTTACCAAACTAGAATTCGTTGCCAAAATTTTTCATAATAGAATTTACCACAATAGAATTTACCACATAAGAATTTACCACAATAGAATTTACTGCAATAGAATTTACCACAATAGAATTTACCACAATATAATTTATCACAATAATAAGCATGTTAACCACATTATAACATTGAAACTCCATGGCAGACCAGTAACCAGTAGATTGTTTGGAGAGGCAAGTAATATATTCAGAAAAATAGAATTGATCGGTTGTCAGAATTTGTTCAGGGAGGCACTCCTATACCTGTTCCATGGGTTGTTATTAAATAAGAGACAGTAGAAAAATATTGGCCTCAAATTACCACGTTTCATTTCACTGGTATTTTTCACTGTATGCGAGTAGCCAGCGAACAGGTGTCTTTTAAAACGCTTGAGTTGGTCACTGGTAAATAACCAATCAATGGATAAGCATTCTTACATTCAACATCAATCTGTTTTATTTCATCGTATTTTAAATCTCTTTTCCATCTGTTGGCGGTGGATGTGGAATTATTTCTAGCTACTCCGTACGCTCTTTCGTTTGAGGTGCCCGCTGTCGTTATATGGAAGATGTACCAGTAAATTTCCAGCGTTATGCTTAAGTCCATGAAGGTGAAAAGTCTTGCCGTAGTGGAATATGGGTTTTCGGCTAAATCCTCATAATGCAGAACAGTCACTCTGTTGGGATATTCCTTCGCCAATTTGAACGTGTTGTTCATATCAATCGCCATTGTTTGGCACAAGTACCGAGCACTATTTGGCAATTTCTTTTTTCCATATTTTTTTGGCTCAACTTTTATCCTAGAATTCATGACCCCTCTTGGATCTCGAATCAAATGGATCATTTTAAAATTCGGGAATTTTTTGAAATATTCTATTATGTTCTCGACGTCAACGCGTATAGTTTTAATAACTCGTAATTTAGATTCTTTACAGTCTTTTACTAGTTTCGGCAAACATTTTAACATTTTGGATTTTAGTTTTGTTTTTCCTACACATTGGTAAAATTCATTAGTGTGAATTCCGAACGACATGAATATGTGTTTCATCGTTTCAACATCTATATTATACAGATCGCAATTATACCAGCGTTCAAGCACCTTTAAACTCTCTGTTACAATAGTTTCACTTGTAAAGTTTCTGAAATTATATGGTGAAAATATGACTGTTAATATATTTCTAAATTAATCGATTTCGGGGAAGGGAGGGTTTGAATGGAACAAATACTTCATCTAAAACAATGGAATAAAGTATCTGGAATTGTTGTGTATTATTTTGTTCTAATCTGAAATTAGATGAAATAATAAGCCACTCATTGGGCGAGAGGTTATATTGTTACATACTAATGGACTTTAGTTTGCTATGAACAATATTGTCATGTAAGTTCTGATTGTTTTAATATGCGACAATCATCTTTTGTTTAAGGCATTAATTTTTTGCAGACTCTCATAATGGACATGAACTATCTTACTTTACTTGATAGCTGGTGGTATTACACGAGCCAACAAAGAGTTCTTAGTCTGTATTATAATCCGTCTGTGTTGCTGTACTGACAGATCAATTACTATAGGATTCACATGTTAGATGCCCGTAGATCTGGTACCGTTTCTTCGTTGAGTTACATATAACTTGTGATAGTTTTCACAACAGATATCAGAGTCTGGTATAGAGACAGACGTTTCGGACTAAGAGTACATTAAGAAGAAAAATGATATTATTACCTGTGTGTGCCGTTCAGATATGTTGAGGATTTGTACTGAAAAAGAGATATTAATGGTTCGAAGGAATAAAAAGCATCATGGTGATGTTGTATAACGTCTGCGGTAAAAGAAGATCCACTGCGCATGTAGGTCAATATCAGAATAAACTGGACGGAGGAGGAGGACTCGGGATACTTCATATTATCATTCTGGAATGGAACTGAAATATATAAAGAATTGAATGATGGACAATGAATGATGAATGAATAAATTGATGAATGGAATGAATCAATCCGTGAATTAAAATCTCGACGAAATTCACCTAGGTCAATATGAAGATAATTACAAAGTCTAGCACACTGGTCAGTGGTATAATTAACAAAGTTAAGGTTTAGGACACGAGTTACGCCCCTTTACAGGAAAATGGAATGATTTTAAATTCAGCCTTGATGGATGTCCCAAGAGCACAATTTCAAACGGTCTGAACTTGTTTCTAAATAGAAACAATAAATATTATTTGTCAAACTTCAGTAGGGACACAGGCTGAAATAGATTAGTTTTTTGAAGATTTTTACTTGTTAAACTTCAGTAGGGATACAGGCTGATATAGATCAGTTGTCTGAAGATCTCTACTTGTCAAACTTCAGTAGGGACACAGGCTGATATAGATCAGTTGTCTGAAGATCTCTACTTGTCAAACTTCAGTAGGGATACAGGCTGATATAGATCAGTTGTCTGAGGATTTCTACTTGTTAAACTTCAGTAGGGATAAAGGCTGATATAGATCAGTTGTCTGAAGATCTCTACTTGTCAAACTTCAGTAGGGATACAGGCTGATATAGATCAGTTGTCTGAAGATCTCTACTTGTCAAACTTCAGTAGGGACACAGGCTGATATAGATCAGTTGTCTGAAGATCTCTACTTGTCAAACTTCAGTAGGGATACAGGCTGATATAGATCAGTTGTCTGAAGATCTCTACTTGTCAAACTTCAGTAGGGACACAGGCTGATATAGATCAGTTTTCTGAGGATTTCTACTTGTTAAACTTCAGTAGGGACACAGGCTGATATAGATCAGTTGTCTGAAGATCTCTACTTGTCAAACTTCAGTAGGGATACAGGCTGATATAGATCAGTTGTCTGAAGATCTCTACTTGTCAAACTTCAGTAGGGACACAGGCTGATATAGATCAGTTGTCTGAAGATCTCCACTTGTCAAACTTCAGTAGGGATACAGGCTGATATAGATCAGTTGTCTGAAGATCTCTACTTGTCAAACTTCAGTAGGGACACAGGCTGATATAGATCAGTTTTCTGAGGATTTCTA